CTCTTGAACCCATAGGCTCTTCACTTCCAAATGGCGGACGCGCCCCACACCTTGCCGTTGGAATACTCATCGTGCCGCGCTCGAGTCCAGGAAGACTTCCATCTTGATGGGATGTCCTGCAAACATGAAGATCTCCTTCAGGAACAATCCCTCCGCACAGGCTGCAACTCCTCCATTGAACTCAGCCTCACCTGAGGACAGGCACAGCATCTGTAGGCTGCGGGCGTAGCTGTAGAGCATGTTGGTGGCTGAACATGGCGCAGGCACATGACTTCCTTGTCTTCTTGCAATTCGCCCAGTCCGTGTCGGAATGGACAACTAGGGTCTCGATGTCCCCCCTGCGCTCCAGCCAGATGCCATAGTCCTTGGTGCCCTGCAGGTATCGCGCCAGGCGGTGCAGCTTTGCCATGCTTCCATCGTTAGGGTCTTTCATGTCCTTGGTGAGCTCGCGGATGGCAAACTGGATGTCAGTCCGGTCGTAGCTCAAGTACAATGCAATGCCAACTCCAGCCCTGAACAGCTTCGTGTTGCTTTCATTGAGCTTTCCACCCTCCTTCACATCACTGTGAACATAGGGAGTAGGTGCCGGGTTGCAATTCTCAAGCTTCAACATCTTCAGCAGGTCGGTGATGTACTTGGACCTTGGGCTGATGAAGATTCCATTGCTATAGATCTCCCTTGTGCGCTTCAGGTGCGTGAACTTCTCCCCCTCAACCAACGGGTGGATCTGGCTCTTCATTCAAATCCTCTTGTGGAGCTCTTTCTCCAACTCCTCCAGGGATCTCTGCGGTCCGGTGGCAAAGAAGTATCCATGTGAACTTTGATGAGGATGCCCTTGCTGGAGTCATGGAACAGCCAGGGTGCAGCTGGGTTGCGACTGAACCCCAAGTCCTTAAGGTGCCCTGCTGCCCATTCAACGAATCACTGTCCAGCAATCCTCCTCCCATACCATTCCTTCTTCAACTTCCAAACCACCTTCTCAGGCAGGGTCACACCGGCCTCAATCTGCTTCTCGATCCAGTCCTTCGGAGGAAGCATGTAGGCATCTTCTTTGATGGGAACCTGCCAGAAAGCATTCTCGGCGTCTGCAGTCATGAACGCATAGCCCATCTTGATGCCAATGACGTCCACCACTCTTGAAGTCGATGTACTGGAGGCTACAGCAAACACATCAGTCCTTGGATCACCTCGTTTGAACTCGCGGACGCAGTACCTGCATCTGACTGCTCCGTCCGGCTTTCGCACCTCCACCCAGGTGGCATCTAGCACCTTCACGCCGGGCTGGTAGGACACAGGCTCATAGGTGTCGTACTTGTCCATCTTCCCATATTCGACCTCTCGGCCTTGTGCACATTCCTCTGCCGTCAAAGGCTTGCTCTCTTCATCGTCAGAGTCCACCGCTGCCATTTCCACATCCTCCTCATAGACGATCACATCCTCGGTCGGCGAGTACAGTGCTCCAACGTATACTCCGCCCACGCGTGCCCTCTTCTCTGGGTTTTCATCATCTCCACCAGGCCAGGCACGACCTTGATCTCCATGGGGGACTTGTCGATGACCTGTTCTGTCTCCATCGCCTCCTGTGAGGGCTCCACATTGGCAGGCTTCTCGCTGATGAGGATGGGTTCGTCATTCCGTCCACTACCGGACGATGGCCCGCCTTGATTGAGTGTTGGCTCTGTTGGCTCTTCCTCAAAGGTCTTGGTCTTGGCCTTCTTCTCATCAGTCTCAGCTTCCGTAGGAACTGACCCCGGCATGATTGCCTCGATCTTCCTCTTAAGACGTCCAATGGTGGTTCCTTGGTCCCAAGGCACCCCAATCATGGCCTCCACCAGGTCCCGGTCATGGGCCTTGGCGCTGTCGGCGAATCTCCTCACAGATCTTGCTGACACGGTGCCATCTGGCGTGCCAAGGAGGTACTCGTTGCTGGTCACACTCCTGCCGAGGTAGATTCCTTTTGCCCATGCCGTCTCACCTTTGGTGATCACATTTCTCCCATGCGCCCTTCTGGCCTTACTCATGGGGGTCTTGAAGAGGACCGTCTCCGCAAATGGGATGAGAGGTGACGTGTACTGGCAGTCGAAGGCATCCTGGTAGGCTGTGCGCTGGTTCGACTTGACTGCATAGCGGCATCTGATGAACGAGCAGTAGCGCACCAACCAGGGCCATAGGTTGTGGGATGTATGCAATGTGGTGCCATACTCCGCTTCGACTGCATACCTCAAGGTCAGGACATCTCCACGAAGCAACTTCTGGAATGCCCCCATCGTTCCAAGGCTCTGTGAGCTGTACCTTGGAACCTCCTCAAAGATGATCTTCAATCCGGCAGCTCCAGGCGCTTCACCTTTCCTCAGGGCTTCAGCGATCTGCCCCTTCACCTTCTTGATTGCCGGCTCGTTGTCTGACCTCAGCTTCACTGTATCATATCCCAGCTGGGCAATGAAGGAAGTGATCACTTTCACCACGTAGGGGATGCCCAAATTCTTGGCTGGGATGCTGAAGGCCAGTCCCATGCCAGCGCCAGTGTCGACCACTGACAGCACTGTGTCACTGCACTCCTCGAACTTGTCGGCCAGACTGGCGTCAGTCTTCAAGAAGCTGTAGTCAAGCTCGAAGTGGTTGTCACTCAGCTTCTGCTCCAGGGTTCTCCGCTTGTGAGCGATCTCAACTCCATGGCCTCGAGTGCAGAATTCACACCATGGTTGCGGCGGCAGGTGTGTCAAAGCATGCTGCCTCATCTCCTCGTCACTGGGGATCACTGGCTTTGGAAGCTCTTGAACTTCAGCTCCACGCCCTTCTCGCAAGGCTTGCTGCCTCTCGCTATGCTTCTCCACATAGTCCCTTGCAGAGGCCCTTCGTGCATTCAATGCAGCTTCAGCTTTCTTCAGCCTTGTCCACAGGGTGTGCTTGTCGCCATAGATGGGCTCATCTAACTCCTTGAGTCGTGCTCGAAGATCTGCCACCTTGCTCCACCAGCTTCTGGCGGTCTGCGCGAGCATGGGCTTCATCACGAGCAAATTCCTCAGGCAGTGGGATCATCTCAATCCCTTCTTCATCTTCGTCAACACCAGCGAACTCCCAGTCATACTGGTCACCTTGCCTCACCACCGGTGCCACGGTGGCCTCCACCTTCATGTCATACGGCACGGCCTCGTCATCCACAATCTTGATGTAGTAGGAGTTCCTGTGGATGTAAAGAGGAATCCTGAATGAGATGTCAGGATGGCTGAGGTATGGCTTGAACTTGTTCCTCATGTCAGCCACAAACCCACTCTTGCTCATCTTGCCAGCTGATAGCACGTCCTTGCTGGCTTGCTGACTCACCTTGAACTCCGTGATGGCGTTCAGGAAGTTGCCGTCCTCGCCCACAATCTTGTAGCTCACTCGCTTCTTTCCGAGCTTTCCCAAACTCTTCCCAGAAATCCCTAGCAGCTCAGCTCGGCACTCTTCGGTGTGCTGATCGCCTCCAAACACAGGTTGGCAGAGGTGTTCATCACTGCCAGAGTCCAAAGGAGGTACTTCACGGAGGTGCCGCTAGGCTGGGAGATGTTCATGTGGTGCCATTCACTCACCTGCTTGTTGGCCTTGTGAATCATCATCACCCACATCTCATCGTCGTACTCGTCCTCGATGTCATAGGTGTCGGCCCATGCCTTCCTCTCGTCATTGTCGGGGTCAATCCAGTAGTAGACAGCATTGGTGCTGCTTCCAGGTGCTCCCTGAGGTGATGGTGGTGATGCTGAGCCACTCGAAGCTCTCTGCACTGCATTGGCGCTGTTCTTGCCTTCGCCCTTGTCACCATCACGTCGTGCTCGATCTCGAACCAAGGTGCGGCAGTCAGCCTTCTTGTGGCCCCACTTGCCACAGTATGAGCACTCGCCATTGAACTTCTTCGTGATGGGGTGCTTTGCCTTTTCCCTGCTTGTCAAACTTTCCACCTTTGTTGACTCCTTTGTCTCCTTTGCTTGACTTGCCTTTCTTTCCCTTCTCTGCATGGGACACTGCTCCCACATCCATAGGTGCCAAGCCTCCATCATCCTTGTCCAGTGCGCCACCAGACTTGTAGATGTTGCCGGTCTGCAGGTAGTCCCGGATGAACTTCTTTGCTCTCTCATAGTTCGTGCCAATCTGCGTCCCAGCAGCTCTCATGGCATCTTTCACCGGGCTTGGAACATGCTTCATCAGCACAGCAACCCGCATGGACTCAGAGACTGTCTCTTTCGACTGCATCTCATAGCGTCTCACCAGCGCTTCCCATGACTCGATCGTCTCAAGGATCTCGGACTCCTTGATGTTCTTCCAGTCGGGCGCAATGATGGCCGTGAGCATGGCCATGTGGCGTCCACCCACTGATGGTTCATAGGCGTCACATAGTGCCTTCCAGGCTTGGAACCCATTCTGGCCCTCCACGTTCACCAGGATCTGGAGAGCTCTGCCGTCGACGCTCTGGGTGAGCAGGTTGAAGAGTCGACAATTCCTGGGCTGTGTCACTCATATCGATCATGGACAGCTCGTTCTGGGAGGCGGCATTCTCAGCGGCTTCCAGCATGCCTCGGTAAGCACGGTCGAGCAGGTGCACGTAGCCCCGTGCAACGAACACCCAAGCTGGCCAATCTTCATCCTTTCCACTGAATCCTCTGAGCTTTCCGATGGCCTTCGTGTCGATTAGGCGTGGACCAGGAACTGGCTGAGGTAGAAGAGGATGTGGTTGGGACGTAGGCGACTCGAAGCCATCAGCAGCTGCAGCGGCCAGGTCAAAGGCCTGAGGCGGCGTAAGCGGCGCGGCCATGTGCGCTGCTTGCCACCCCTGCACGGGGATTTATGCCGAGTCCACACCACGAGATTTCACGTGGATTTACAGGATGCCACCTACACCGACGCCACTCGGGACTTACACCGGTTTCACAGGGGGTCAGGAGCAGGAGCCCTGGCGGGCTCCGCTACCATGCAAGCGATGGCGCCCCTTTTCTCGGACCTCAAAGAGGGCTGCAAAGTACGTGTACAAATGTTATATATTATATTGTCCCTCTTTTGTTGGGACCACTAATGAAGAGACATTGACTGGAATGTCTTTTTCCTTCATACCTGAGCATTGACAACGGACTGGAGCCAAGGGCTTGGTCCGAACAAGCTGTACAGAGTCTGCACCAGTCTTGGTCTTGGCCACTTCAAACCACTCCTCATGGGTTTTTGAACAAAAAAGTACTCGCATCCCCTAGCCGTAGCCACTTTTCCAAAAGCAACAGAACACGTCTGGCTTTCCTTTAGATGGACGTGTAATTACCAACTACAAATGGCCACAATTGCAGTAAATTCCCTTTGTATCCATGCACATTTAAAGAACTTTAAGTCGATGCCCGTCTTGAGCACTCAAATTGAATGAGATTTGGAATTGAGATTAGAAATCCTACACACACGATGCCAGGTTGGTTGAGATGCGCTCCCTTTATGCTTCTGCATTTGAGCAAGAGTAAAGACAGCTTCGCAAGGACGACAAAGCGTCCCTTCCTCGGCCCACAAAGAAGAGAGTGGTTCACCCAAGAGATTGAAAGCAACCTTACCTGGCGTCGTTCATCCAACATGATGCTTTCACCAAGCAATGTTGAATACGCCTCGAAGGCCACTCTTAGCAGCCTGAGCGACCGAGGCTCACCTACCTATCTACGGATATCTACAGTCTTGTCAGTTCAGACCATCGGTCCGAGTCCTACTCAATCCAGCTCATCCAGCCCACATGCCTCACTCTACTTCGGTTCCTGGTCACAAAGCAATTCTTGTTTACAAAAGATGTCGGGCACAGAAGACAGAAGCGATTCTTGCTTGCCCAAAACATGTGAAATCCCAAAATGGGGCCCCTGCAAGCACAAAAAGAACAACAAATCCATAACATCCATAATCCAAAGTGGACCATAGAATGCCTTTGTGCACTCTCTTACAGCGTACGTTTGATTCTTGTTCATCCTTGAACCACGGTCCTCACAACGAAGCCAAGATCACTTCCTCTTGGCTTCTCGTTTTGTGCTGTCTCTGCCTCCAGCTTTGCCGTCTCAGGAGTCTCGTTTTCTTGATTCTCTTTCCCACGTGGAGTGGATGGAGTGCAAGATCCGGCAGTCAAGGACGTCGCTGCCCAGCACACGCGCGAAGTGGAAGCCGTGGAAGGCGTGGAAGCCGTGGCGGAAGCGCCGCAGCGTGGCATGGCCGACTTTGGACGTAGTGCCGAGGCTGAGGCTGATCCTCTCGAGCGAGACGCGCTCGCACTTGAGGCACTCTTGGGTCGTAAGCTCGAAGGTCGGCTTGGGCGGCTTGGGCTGCTTGGGCTTGGCCGGCTCATTGAGGAAAAAATACTACACAGGGGAATCGAACCCAACTCAGATACCGGGGGACTCATCTCGCTCTTCCTCGGTCAAGTACAGCAAATGCTCAAGTTGGCAAAGCAATTGCTTTAAACAAAACAACACTGCCAGCCAAGATACAAATATATATATATATACACGTATATAACATATATATATACACAAAGCCATACAAAGCCTAAGGCAATTTTGAGTTGTAGTGGGCTTTTGAAGGTGCCCCTTTTGGTGGCCAAGTCTCTGATCAGATCTATGGCTTTTTTGGGATGCAATGGCCGCAGAAAGCACATGCACCGGGTCTTCGCCAAGAGGAGTACCTTTCATGTCTTCAAAGGCTGAAAAGTATGGAAAAAGTTCCTGAAAAAACACCTACTAGGAGCGATCGGACGCTACCAGGGGCTCCTGGCCTTACTACTAGGAGCAAGGACGCATCCTTGCTCCGTTTGTGGCGATGCCAGGAGCCCCTAGTGGCGAACACCTGTACCTCTCACCAATTTGAGATGAGGCTCCAGGCGCTCCAGGCAAGGCTCCAGGCGTTGCAAGAATCTCTGCCTTTCGGGACGGAAGCTCAGCTCCTTTCGGGCCGAAGGAGCCTCGCTGGGGGCGGACCCTTGCTTTGGCGCCGAAACACCGCTGATAGGTGGTCACCTTCCGGTTGGGCCAAATCTCTTGCTCCAAGCAGTTGTAAACACCTTTGCTCTCGTACAGATTTGGAACCTTCGCTTTGATCTTGTTCACTGCAGCAGATCGACGGTGCAGCCGAAAGAATGCATGGTTCATCGTTTGAGGAAAGCTACAAACGGAGTCCGAAGAAAGATCGGTCTCTGTGGCATTGGAAAACCCAGGTAAACTCCAAGATTGCGTAGATCCTGCTGATGTGGACCTTGAGCTGCGGACATCCCATTCCTCAGATAGCAAGTCAATCCCTTGCAAGGAGTTGTGAAATCCCTCCCAAAGAGTTGCAGAAAAAAGATTCGTCTTGTTTTTGACTACTCGTGGGTCCTAGGTGCTTTTAGTGTCGCACTCCTCGGTCTTGGCTTCGTGCCAACCACCTGAAGGTTCGCAGTACATACATTAGAAGGCTCAAACAAAAACGATAGTCGCAAGATGTAGAAAGCTCATTTCGCGTGCTTGTTCCTTCGATGTTCAAAAAGAATGTCTCCTCCAAACATGGCCTCCAAAGCCGAAATCGGCCTGCACCATCGGTCCTCATGTAGCATTACACTTATGATCTGAGGTGTCTTTTCACCTGCATTGAGGTGTCTTGAGCCGAAATTCGCAGATAAAGCAATGATTGCATTAAAGGTGTGCACCAGATTGATACAGAGGGACTTGGCACAAGAAAACAACTTGGCACTTTGGCCTGCTGTGAGTAGAAGCACCAGGGCGCATAGAACATGATGGCTGTGACTGGATTCTCCTGGGCTGTGCGGTCACAGCCGGATGGCATGTGACCGGATGGCACATCTGCATGAAGAACCGCAATGGGCAATCACGGGCCTTCATGTGCTGTGCAAAAGTCTTGTCCGTGAGTTCATCAACTGCCTCAATTGAAAAGGCATCGACAAATGGAGCAAAGAGCCTCTTTGCAAAGCTTGCAAAAAAATCAAAGCCCTCACTTCAAGGGACTACCACGGACTTCGACCACCAGCTTAAGCACTTACAGGAACAGCTTCAGAAGCACTTACAAGAACAGCTTCGGAAGCACCGCCAATTCTGAGCTGCGTACATGCTGCCTGAAGCTTCGGCTTAGTGTCTTTCTCGTGTCAAATCATTTGTGCATTCGATCTGCACAAGCCTTTGGTAAGAGATTGCCGTAGCTGAGGCGCGGGCCCCCCAAGAATTCCGCTCAGATCAAAGCCCAGAGCCTAAACGAACGTTCAAAGTACATTGTGAGTTACAATGAATTACAGTATTCTGTATTCTCCCTGGCAAAGCACAAGTTGCAGGCAGTCAGTTCGGGGCAGTTCGAGTGAGCTCTCCTATCCCCACCTTTCTATGTTTTTCAACTAAGTTCTCGGTTTCAGTGGCGTCTTGGTCTCAGTGGCGCACCGGCCAAACACCGAGCAGCTTCCACAAAATCATTGCATCAAGGCGATGCTATGTAGCTCGACCAGTTTAGGGCAGTTTCCACAACTGGCATGCCTCCAACCGTTCGTAGCTTCTAGCTACTAGTAGCTTCTTGTTCCTAATAGTAATGGCCCTCCACCCTAATGGTGATGGCCTCCAACCTAGGAAAAGAATGCAACTTGACAATACATTTAAGTTCCCAAAAGCTGCAGACAAATAGCCCATGGACGCACTTTGTCCAGCAGGAAACAGAAGCACTGAGCAAGGCTAGGTGATGTGTCCTTCTATGTCACCAAGGCTGTGAGAATGGATTTGAGCAGTCAAGCAGTCTGATGAAATGCGCTTGCCACCTTCACTACGACATGAATCTCTTGGATGCTTGGGTCGACAACATCTGGAAGGGAAAGTCTGTTTGTCACTAAGTTCTGCTAGAGGAAGGGGGCAGGGAGGACCAAGATAAATCAAACCTAAGCTCTTTCGGAAAAATCAGTGTGTCACGCAAAACAAGTCCAAGACCTAAAGCCTAACGCAGTTGTTCTTGTCTATTTGCTTCCTTATTATGTCATTTCTTTCTTGTCTTTCCTATTATTCCATCCTAAAACGGACTGCGCAGTGCCTTTTCCCCAGCCAAAGACGGAATTCGCATGCCATTCGTCCACATAGCGGTCCGCCTCGTCCTCTCCGAAGAACATGTCTATGGGCACTCCGGAGACATTAAGTCTACCCCACTGTTCCAGACTCACGCGGATCTCGCCTGACTTGGTCCTATTCATCCTGGAGACAACGCAGAAGGGCAGCACATGCCACTTGATCCAGTGTGGATCCCCGTTGATCCAGTGTATTAGCATATCATGTGGACAGGACACGTTCGGCCAGCACTGAAAATAGATGGGAAGTTTCCTCAGGCGCTTCCACCGTCTCGCAACTATAGGCTCAAAGGTGTTTTCTTCATGGCAGCTGCTTCCTGCCACTCTAAAGACATCCTCCATCCTTGAGCGGTGAACCATCCAAAACCAGTCTCGAAGCATATACAGCGCCTTTGGCTGTTGTGGAGGTGTAAAAAAGTAGCTCACATGAGGATACGGGCGCATAAAGATCAAATCTGAGCGAACACGAAAAATGAAGTGGTGGCGAATGCCCTCCTTGTGTTCGAAGGTCTTAATGATGTTCATGCATTGCTCAATGGCATCTGCCTGTGATCGCACAGTATGGCCAAGCCAATGGCAATCACCTTTCGGTCGTGGCACAAAGAAAGTTTCGTGCACTGGATGCAACACTCTCCTCGCGGCATCAAGTTGGATATTCGAACGCTCTTTGTTGAGATGCCAAAAAACATTGGACTTCACACCAAACGCCTCGATCAAATTCCGCTGCATTGAGCGATGAACCACATGCTCCGTGAATGTGCGTACTTCTCCTGCTGTAATACAGAAGGCAGCTCGTAGCCCTTCAAAGTCAGGTGAGGATGTGGTGCTTGTGGCTCGGGTCGTTCGGGTTGTTCTCGTTGATGTCAAGGTAGGTTGAGTTGAAGTTGTTGTCGAGCTGGGCGGATTTGATGGCGGAGTTGGTGGCAATGTTGCCACCTGAAGCATCTTGAGGTGAACTTTGCCTGGCTCAACTTGTTGCGATTTAAGCACAGCTGCTAGCAGTACACAAAGCGTGAGACTGGCAATAACCCCGCGCGAGAACCAACGCCAAGGCATGGCATAATTGCATGGCTCACATTTGACTCTATATACAGTTCTAAGAGGAAGAGTTGTCACAAAGATTATGGTCCTCTGAAACAGGGTTCGCAGCACACAAAAAACCAAACAGTGCTGTCAGCGGCTGAACAGAGTTGTATTTTTTCTTCGGGCCCACGGGGCTTTTCTTGCAGCGTTATTTGTTCTACGCGCTGGCAGGCTCAAATGCCATGACTTTTCAGTTTTCAGTCATTCTAACAGTTTCCTGTTGAGTCTGCCTTGACACTCTGCCTCGACACTCTGCTAGAAAGTTTTGCAGCCCCTGCAGTTTGCTTCAAGTTCAGAACAAAGAAGACAACCACTTAAAATGCACAAATCGCTATTGAGTTGGAGGCCATGGCTATTTGCGTGTGTCTCGTTTGTGCAAAGTGTCTCGGATGCCTCTGTGCCAAGAAACAAAAGGCCCTGAAAACTGGATGAACCTTTCGCTTCCTGTCTCTGTCATCTTCGTGGAGCTGCTTTTTTGAACGGAACGGCTCAGACTGCATAGTCTCTCATCCTATCTACTAAAACTTCCTCAGCTGGGGTTGTAGTCCTCGTCAAAATGACCCACATAGACCTGCGGTCCGTTTCTTTGGAGACGTGCTGCTGAAGCAAAACCGGCGACCAACCCCGAAAGTCCGGTTGCGACGCTGACTCTGAAACAACACGGCTTCTTGTTACTAGTAGCGATGGCCTCCAACCGAATAGCGATGGCCACCTAGTAGCTTCCACCTCCGTTCGTAGTAAGGCCAGGAGCCCCTAGTAGCGTCCATGCTCCTAGTAGCGATGCTACTAGTATACACTGAGTGATCAGTGATTCCAAGCGGCCAAGTTCAAAGTATCTCGGATCCTCAGCTGTGCGTCGATCGAACACCGCCAGGACAAATCTCATGTCAAGCATGGTCATCATGCTTGAGCAGAACAGAAGGTGCACACAACACACTCTCTCTCTCTCTCTCTCCATCTGGGCTACTGACTTAGCCTCCTCAATGGTCATCCTTTGGGTTCTGTGCTGTAGGGCAGGGAAAACAGAGTCCACCCCAACCAGAGATACCAAGAGAAGAGTGTACAGTGTATTGGATTCAATGATTTTACGACAGCAGTTCAGATCATTTAAACCAAATGTCTAGCATCCTGTTTCAGATCAGTTTAGCCTGGAACAGGACAGTCTGGGTAGCGCCTTTGACCTTAAACCCTCAAGCGAACAGCTTCCAACGCGTGGCCCACACTGAGGCCGTAGCTCCCGAAAGAGAACGTCCTGGAGGGCGGGAGCGGGCAACGAGTGGAACCAGGAAACGAGTGGAGTTAACGCCTAAGGAGTTAACCAAAATGGTTTGTTTACACAGCTGAATCCAAAAAAGATGTGACTTCTCGAAGGTATGCTGCAAGGTCCTTGGGATCAGTGTAGTCCACAGGCAAGAGCGCCCCAGAGCCATTTGGTGCTTTATTTGGCAAGCCCTTGGTGAGGATAGTTTCCTCACAAAGACGCTGTTGGAGGTCAAGCTTCTGCACGCTTCTAGCTTTCCTACAGTCTGGACTCGCCGTGACAAGACTTCGGCGTGGTCAACCGGGTGAACACCAGGTGAACGCACCGAAATGGTGGGCTTTTGGACCTGAAATGTGTATCCAGGATACCCATGGGCGTACGGCTCATTTGCTTTGATCCTTTTGTGTGTTGAATGTGTTTGGTGTCTTCGTGGCGTCTGTGTGGGGTGAATGTTTCTGGAAACTCAGAACGAGGCTGTGCAAAGCTAACAAGTTCCTCATGGGAATCTACATAATACAAACCGTCACTTAGATCGTTTCTGGTTTGTGGTCTTGTGCGTTAGACCATTTCTCAATATCTGCGAGGGGGAAATCGAAGTTTGGTGTCCTTCTCCAATCGAACGCCATTGCACTCGGACCTGCCTTGCGATTCAGCCCTGTTCTGGCACAGAAGGTGTCAACCAAGTCGCCCACGGTTCTGCAGTGTCAATGAAAAACATTTAGCAAGGAAACAAACACATACTCAAAAAGAAACTGTAGTTTGTCCAAGTCGACAATCATTCAACAAGCCAGACAGGCGCGGTCTTTGGCATCAAACAATTGAAAATGGGCGGATCCTTCAGCCACCTACGGGACAATCGATGAACAAAAATCGTGGCACTGACTTCGAGGTACTTTGAGGATAGAAGTTTGCACAAGTAGGAACAAGAAGCTACTAGGGGCTCCTGGCCTCCTTACTACTAGAAGCGATCGGACGCTACTAGGGGCTGCTGGCCTTACTACTAGGAGCAAGAAGCTACTAGGAGCAAAGGGCATCGCTACTAGGAGCAAGGAAGCTACTAGGGGCCTCGTGGCCATACTACTAGGAGCAAGAAGCTATCCAAATGCGGATCACAAGATCGATCTTTCGACTTCAGGTCTATAGTCCAAGAATTTGACCTGCACAATCGCGTGGCATGTGTGTAACATCGCCAATGAGGTGCGTCAACATACTTCAAGTTCCACAAGTTCTGTGAACGGTGACCAAAACCTTGTACAAAAATGTTAAACTGGAGCCTCTCTTTTGCAAACTCTTCAACCACCCTTTCGTGGCGCGTCTTTTCTTTCGCGGCCGTGTATTTTAGTCAACAAGGTTTGCTCAGCGGCTTGGCGACATGCAGACGACTGTGGGGGCAGAACACAGTTCGGAGCGACGACACCCGTGTTGAACACCTTTTGTTGCAAGCGCAGATGGCTGTTCACCCTGGTGCGCTTGCGATGCAGTCTGAATCAGAGGATGCAGACGAAGTAAAGGAGCTGGAAGGGCATGAACACTCAACGTGGCCAATTGGTGTTTCTTCTTTGCTACGCTCCACAGACAACGCCTTGGCAGAGACTACGCTTCCAAAGATGGCTTTGACGAAAGCATGTCCGGAGCCACAACATTCAGCAAACCAGCGGCTGATGGCAGAGTCTCGAGGCACCAGCCCCAAGTAGCAAGGACGCTACTAGTAGCTCCTGGCCTTACTACTAGTAACAAGAAGCTACTAGGGGCTCCTGACCGTACTACTAGGAGCTAATAGCTACTGGTAACAAGAAGCTACTAGGAACAAAGGGCATCACTACTAGGAGCAAACAAACACTTCCACTCTTTCTCCGGCCGTTCGTGAGGAACACCATAACCTACCGAACTGAAACAGTTTGCTTTTTGAGGCTGCCCCGTCCCAACTATGGTTCGCCCCATGCACCTTTCGAAAAAAGGCTTCGGTGGAAGATCGTTCAAAAACTGGATCGGAGGGGGGACCTGAACAAAGTTGGGTGGATGGGCCCAAATGCGGTCGATGTGTTAGCGATGCCCTTTGTTCCCGGTAGCTTCTTGCTACTAGTAGCGTCCTTTGCTCCTAGTAGTACGGCCAGGAGCCCCTAGTAGCGTCCTTGCTCCTAGTAGCGATGCCCTGAAAGCTTTGGAACCAGAACACTTACCAGCCACAAGGGCGCGGTCGTTTCTTCCTCCCCCTTGCTCTGCCAAGAGTTCGCGGAGTGGAGCTCCCCGTGGCGAAAGTTCGCTTCCGCAAGTCCTGTCTGCGCGGAACAGCTCCTTTTCATCGATGGCTTGCTCCTTGCTCTCCATACGGCAACATGACATCACTGATCCTTTGGTGCAAAAACAGCGCCAAATGCACCAACTACTTGAGAGTCCCGCTCAGAAGCATATGCTTTGCAAGTCTTTGCTTTGCCAAGTCTTGGATGCTGGGACTGGTGCTTCAAAATCTACAGGGTGGTAGGACGAGTGCTTCATTCAAACACGGCTTCGATGACCTGTTGGCTCTCAGTGCACCGTTGGGTTGGAATCTAAACCTGAAACTTGACAATCCATCAAGATCTTTCGCCAAGCCTTCGCGGTGGAGCTTTTACGAAACGTCGAACCGAACACACTTCACTTTCGCGTTCGCCGCTCAGGTGTGTCCTTTCGCGTCAGCTCAGAGCGGACGTTCCTACTGAAGCGTGTTTACCGTGGCTTTTGGGGGGAGCCTCACAGCTGATCTCCCTAACAGCGAACATCCCCTTCCATGATCGGCACCTGATGTGAATCATCTGTGAAGCTCCATCATTGGCCTCCGGATCAATCCTGGCCAAGCGTCCGATTCACCAATTCACCAGCGGCCAAGCAACAGAAAGGCCGCTGCGACCAATCCAGGTCAGTTGCACAGGGAAGGGCCACGCAATCCAAATCCAGGACCCTCAACCAATGCCCAGCCTCGGTGCTGCACAAAGCGATGGCCTCCAACCTAAGAGCCTCCAACCTAATAGCAATGGCCATGCCCTTCGAAACGATTTTCGGCGGTTGTTCAACCGGCCGGCAAGAAATAGTCCAAGCCACCCATCTCACCTGGAGATTTGCCAATATCGACCTGGAGTCCCAAGGTGTGTCGTGTCAGTCTTTGTTATTCAAACTAAACCAAAGGAGGATCCAATCCACTGGGAAGTTTAGCTCGAATTTGATTAAATCAACACGAGGCTCTCCCAACAACTAGGACATGCAGCCGATAATCACGCATTGTCTGTCTTGTCTGCGTTTCCATCAAAATTAAACCTGGCTCTGTTAAATGATTGGGCCTCGGCCCAAACACCTCCTTGAGGACCTTTCCAGATGGTTCCTCGGTCGGTTGAAAAATGCTGCCAAAGTCGCTGAACTACTTTGGCAGCAAACCAGCTCTCAAACCAATCCTGTATGCGCAGTTACACATATGTTGGGCAAACTAAGAACTCAGCCGGTTGTGTAGATCTTGGACCTTGCCGCTTGCCGATGTTATTGTCTTGCATAAATGTCTCCCTCCGTGAAGATAAGGTAATCAGATCTCGATGTTGCATGATCTTGCATGAATAGGCATTGATTGCATAGAGGCAAAGAGAATGGTCGCTTATAAACGAAAAAAGAATGCCGGCCCTTCAACCACAAAGCGCCAAGAGTTACAGCGTGACAAATCGTGGAATCGTGTCAGCGTTTGTTTCAAGCCGGTGTGAAGGCCACTAGTAGCAAAAGGAACCTAATAGGAATGGCCTCCACCCTAATAGCCATGGCCTCCACCTAGTAGCTTCTAGCTACTAGTAGCTTCAGGTTATGCGATTACTTCTGGGGCACACAGGAAGACGGTAAAACATTATGCCACAGACGACGAAAACCCGGCTGGGGAACCTGAAACGGCTGGTGAAACGGCTGAAACTCGGAGGCCATTGCTATTAGATTCCTTATGCTATGAGGTTGGAGGCCATCGCTACTATTGTGGAGGCCATTCCTATTAGGTTGGAAGCTATCAGGGGGTTAATTCTGGAAACCCAAAGTGCAAAGTGGAAGCTGAAAACCAGCTCCAGGACAGAAGGACGTATATACCGTATATACAATCCTGGTGGCCGAAAGGCCACGACTTTACTACTTTTAGTGGTGAACACGAACTTCTTGCTACTAGTAGCTTCTTGCTTCCTTTTTGGGGGATGTGAAGCAATCCACGTAACTTCTTTTGTCTTCCTTGAGCTTCCTTGAGTGAAGCACCGATGTTGTAGGAACTCTGCCGGTATGCCATATGAATTTGCATCAACAGGCACTTAGAAGAACACAATATGCATGTCCTGATGTTGTAATTCGATCTCAATTACTTTACATGAGAACTGAGATTTTGGACCCCACTGGACGCTTCGCTTTCAGAATCTTCTGAGATGTTGGATCCTGCACTCGACAAATAAAGTTCAATCTTTTGACGGAAATCCACAAGTTGAAACAAATCTCATCCTGTCCTCTCCGGGCTTCAAAAAGCAAACGCCCTGGGCCACGATGTACTGGGTCGGTGCCCCTTCCGACAGCTGCTCCAACTCCTGAAAGCTGTTCTTCAAAGGTAATGCTTTAAGCCACAGAAACCGAAATCCGTCAAACTGCAGAAACCCACGGACAGAATCTGTAACCTAATGCCAACGGCCTCCAACCTAATAGCAATGGCCTCCAACCTCAACCTAATAGCGATGGCCTCCAACCTAGAAGCGATGGCCTCCAACCTACTAGTAGAAATGACCTCCAACCTACTAGCAATGGCCTACACAGAATCTGCTTTCCTCCTCTTTCCTCAGCATGATCCCTAGCCGTTGTTTGCAATAAACGACTGTTCAGCATGTTCCCCGCCTCAATGGCCATCAGCTTTCTCTGGCCTCTGGGCTCAAACGACTCAAGAGCCTTTTTGGATTCTTCAGCCGGCTCTTACTTAACTAAGTAGGCAGCTACTTAATTGAGCAAGGGCCAACGCATTCCTGGTAAGCTTACTGACCAGATAGGACGCAGGATAGCTCACGCACTATTCATTTAGTTCCTTTAGGGAAACTTAACAATTGAGCTTTGCTGCAAGCTCTGCAAGCTCAGCAAGCTCAGGAGCGCCCAAGGTGAGGGCAAGGGTAGTCATAGAGGCACAGAACACAGTTTGCTGAGCTGGGAACCTGATCTGCCCGGTGCAGCACACCCCAGGTCGCACCTGTTATTCAAGCTGTTTGAGCCAAAGAAATTTATTCCCACGGCCACCTCAAGCTGCGATGCATCAACAAAGGACGCTACTAGGGGCTCCTGGCATCGCTACTAGGAGCAAGGATGCTACTAGTAGCGTCCTTGCCCCTAGTAGTAAGGCCAGGAGCCCCTTGTCGCGTCCTTGCTCCTAGTAGCTATTCTTTCAGAGCAAACAATGGTTCTTTCAGGGCTGGATCTGTCGATGCCCACGGAGGTCGACTGGGGTTCACGCTAATTCAACTGCTCAACTCTGCAACTGGGGGTGTGCAGGACAGCGTCGAAACAGATTCAGAACGATTCGGGCGAACGAGTAGAATCTGATGCAAAAGTATTTGGATTGGTACATGGAAGCACGAAACTAGTTGAAAGCCATCGCTACTAGGTTGGAGGCCATTGCTACTAGGGCCCATTGATAAGCGCTGATCTTCAAGTGCTCGCAAGGAATGGCTTCTTTCTCGGTCCCCTCCTCTTGCTTTTTAGCCTCTGTCGTATTTGGTTGGTTGCTTCAACCACAAAGGCTGCTCACGCTCTTGGCAGCATGATGGCTACTTTTCGAGCCAAATTAGATAATTGTTGATCTATGACACATTGAACCTAAAAAACAGTACATGAAAGATCATGAGAGTATCCCTGCCGTGTGATAACACTAGGCAAGCAATGCACAGGAGAAGGGTTCTTCCTGTCCAAATTCAGTCAAACTCATTCTGCATCTGCATCCAAATCTCGGCAGCACATCTCATGTTTCTGTCCAAAACAGTCAGTTCACAGCAGTTCTCATTCCAGCTCGCACATGCTTCCACACAAGCAAGGAGAACTCCAGAACATCATGAAACATTGAGTCAGTGCTTCAGATTGACAAATCCTTTTGGATCTCAATCTCTGTCCTCTCAAATTTCGCAGTCCGAGGTCCCGAACCTCTGGCTTCCAGACTTTGCCATTGTGATCAATACCAGATTGTCCCTTAAAACCTGCGAGGCTTTTTGTATAGTCAAACCAAACAGGTGTAAAACCAAACATGCTTGAACTCGAGTCTCAGCTTCGATTTGGTCTGGTTATCTCACCAAGGGGCGTTTGAGCCGGGTCAGCTCCTGTAGCATTCCAACTTTGAAGTCCCGGCTGTCCAAAAAAACAACGGAGCGACAGAGTAATTTGATGGAGTTTCCCTCTCCTTTACGCTCATTTTGCCTTTGCCCTTGCCTTGCAAATGTCAGAACTCTGCCGAGATTCAATGTTGTGCTGTTGCACAAATCATCTGCACAAAACTTGAGCAATGTGAATGAACATCATTGGCAATACATCCTGAAAACTCTGCTGGCCTTTCCCTTTGCTCTCCTCCTCGTCATCTCGAGGCCTCTGGGGCCCCAGTGTTTACCAAAGTCTGCAACATCCAAAAGTCTTCACAAGAATCAACTTGCATTCATCCAACAAGAGCTGAATCAGAATCTGAATCCACTCTTGAAGAAGCATACCGGTTCACTGTAGGGAGCAAAACTATCTAGACAAGAAGTGAAGCCTCTTCACAGCCACCTCCTCTGGAATCCTTGGTCAATCCGGGTGACTTACAGCTGTGCGCGGCTCTTCACAGCTACCTGCACGATGTGTTTGGACTGTGGCCTCCAACCCAAGAGCGATCCGTAGCTGGCAGCTTGGTGCCCGGACACTGCATCCTTGGCTTCAGATCCCGGATGCCAGCCTTGTCCACGCAAGGTGGCTGCAGATGCTGAGGTCACCCGATCCTCGAGAAGAAAGCAAGTGAGTGGACAGAAATTGAAATTTTGTTTGAACAACCCAAGCAGTTGCTGAAGCAAGACTGAAGCAATGCATCTAGGTGTTTCCTGGTCAGTTGTTTGATCAGATGAATTTGGACCTCTCGTGACCAGAAGGAATTTGTTTTCAGTGGATTTTTTTCCCATAGTCTGATCACAACTTGGATCTCTTCATACTGGCAACATTCCAAAGTTCTACTCATTGTAGGCTTACTACACTGCATTGTCCCTCAAACGATGAATGAAGTATTCTGCGTTGATTGGCTACAAGACCTGCCGGAAGCAAAACGGCTACACTGAAGATGTCTGGTCTCCGACGGAACACGGAGCCAGCTCCGCCCGCGAAAACCCGGTCCAGACTCATGGTGTGCAAGCGGACCTGAGCCATGTCTCCGTCCCGAGAGGGAACAAAAAGAATTGCAGTCTTAAGGAAAGGCCTCCAACCTACTAGCGATGGGGTCCAACCTAGAAGCAATGGCCTCCAACCCAGTAGCGATGAGGTCCAACCTAGAAGCAATGGCCTCCAACCTACTAGCG